CTGAAAGCGAGCTGGGGCTGGCCTTGCGGCGATGCCCAAGAAGCAGCCAGCTAGCCAAGGGGTGAGCGGTCAGGGCTTTGCAGTCTAGGGGGGAGGGCTGGATGAGCAGGGAATGCACAGGGGCTGGGGCAGGACAAGGAGAATCGAAGGGGCAGAGGTGCCCCCACACCCCACTCTGATCAGAGGAGCTCTTATTTTATGTGTTATGTCTTGGGTTTTTGCATCAGAGTTTGTTAGGCGAAAGCGTTTAGCTGCCTAAAAACAAGTTTTAAAACCAGTGAACTTGAATGATCCTTAAGGCCTCTTCACTTCCAAGAGACTACCATTGTTCCTCACAAAGAGAAAAAAGAGAGACAAATTAACACAGGCCTGTTCAGCAGGCCTGAACAACTCCACCCTTCATTTGGTCTCCTTCGGAGGAGAGAAAGGCATTTGTCTCATATGTGATTATCTATTTGTTGGTATAATCTCTGAAGGGATAGACTGTATCCTTAAGTTTAATTATAAATGTACCTGGCAAGGTAATGAAATACCAAGTTCACTGGAAACTTGCCACTCTACCTTGCTTTCCTGTTGTCACATGGCCTGCAGCGTTGAATCTCAGTAGGACTTTGGTGCTCAAGGAATCCACCTTCCTTTTCTGGGGTCCGAAGTAAACCACCTGGGTTCTAGGTGGGTTCAGGCCAAACACAAAGGGCTCTTATAGCACAGCAATGCAGGTGTAAAATGCAAGCCAGTTTAAGACAATCATTGCCAAGAATACTTGGCCTTCCACTCATTTGTTCCAAAGAACACTGCTCTAAGAAAATCATCTTCCATAAAATAGTTTCCTGAAATAATTAACATCTGAACAGGAAGGGACTATTTTTTTTTCCCATATTGATGTATTCCGTTGCTAGGAGATGGGTTTGGAACAGAATTCCTAAATTAAACATCCTTGCAGACTGACTTGTATTGAACCTGGCTCTCTAAGAGAACACACTGCATTTATCATGAGCATCAGTGTGCAAAAACCTGTCATTTCTGAAGCTAGAAGACAATTAACCAGGTCAGCAAGCATATAATCCAGGCATCTCACCATCATATTAAAATAAGAGTATGTTTATGAGAGGCAGCTGTGCTGTGGGGTAAAAGTGCTCTATTAGGAGGGAAAAATATCCAGGATTTGTCATGTACTAGCTCTGCAACCTTGGAAGGTTACTTAAGAACTCTCAACCTTGATTTTCTCATCTATACATGGGGACAATATTTTTTTCATAAGTTTGTTATGAAGTGTAGTTAGATATTATAAGTAAAATGCCTTTTAAAATATAAAATGCTATATGGGATATAAAAATTATACAGGCTCATAATAATTATATTTTATTACAGAATAAGAAGCATGTCCCCCACATTTAAAAATTCTCCTTTTGTTTGTTGAAATTTATCATGGAATAATATGATGAAGAAGCAGTGCAGTGGGGCGCCTGGGTGGCTCAGTTGGTTAGGCGACTGCCTTTGATCAGGTCATGATTCCGGAGTCCTGGGATCAAGTCCCACACTGGACTCCCTGCTCAGCGGGGAGTCTGCTTCTCCCTCTGACCCTACCCCCTCTTGGGCTCTCCCTCTCTCTCTCAGTGAATAAATAAAATCTTAAAAAAAAAAAAAAAAAGTAGTGCAGGGGCCCCTGGGTGGCTCAGTCAGTTAAGTGTCTACCTGTGGCTCAGGTCATGATCCCGGGGTCCTGGGATTGAGACCCACATTGGGCTCCCTGCTAGGGGGAGCCTGCTTCAGCCTGCTTCTCCCTCTCCCTCTGCTCTCACCCCCCGCCCCGACTTATGTGCTCCCTCTCTCCCGCTCTACACTCTCTCTCTAATAAATAAGATCTTAAAAAAGAAAAAAGTAGTGGATGGCTTACACCATACACAAAGATAAACTCAAAATGGATTAAGAACCATTTCTTAATGTGAGGCCTGAGACCATAAAACTCCTAGAAGAGAACACAGGCAGTAACTTCTCTTAACATTGGATGTGGCAACTTTTTTCTAGATATGTCTCCTGAGGCAAGGGAAACAAAAGCAAAAATAAGCTATCGGGACTTCATCAAAATAAGAAGCTTCTGCACAGCAAAGGAAATAATCAATAAAACTAAAGACAATCTATTGAATAAGAGAAGATATTTGCAAACGACATATCTGATAAAGGGCTAGTATCCAGAACATGTAAAGGACTTATGAACTCAGCATCCAAAAAAAAACAAATAATCTAATGAAAAAATAGAAGACATGAATAGATATTTCTTCACAGAAGACATCCAGATGGCCAACAGACACATGAAAAGATGCTCAACATCACACATCATCAGGGAAATGCAAGTCGGAACTACAAGGAGGTATCACTTCATACCTGTCAGAGGGTTAAAATCAAAAACACAAGACAAGAATTGGAGAGGACAGAGAAAGGGAAACCCTCTTACACGGTTGGTGGGAATGCAAACTGGTGCAGCCACTCTGGGAAACAGTATGGAGGTTGCCCAGAAAGTTAAAAATGGAACTACCCTAAAATCTGGTAATTGCACTACTGGGTATTTACCCCAAAGAATACAAAAAACACTAATTCAAAGGGATACGCGCACCCCTATGTTTATAGGAGCATTATTTACAATAGCCAAATTATGGTAACAGCCCAAGTGTCCGTTGATAGATGAATGGATAAAGAAGAGGTAGTATATATACACACAGGAATATTACTCAGCCATAAAAAAGGATGAAATCCTGCCATTTGTAACAACACGGATGGAGCTAGAGAGTATAATGCTAAGGGAAATAAGTCAGTCAGAGAAAGACAAATACCACATGATTTCACCCAGGAGTGGAATTTAAGAAACAAACAGTAAAGGAAAAAAAAAAAAAAGACAAACCAAGAAATAGACTCTTAACTCTAGAGAACAAACGGATGGTTAGTAGAGGGGAGATGGGGGGAACAGGTGATGGGGATTAAGAGAACACTTATCATGATGAGCACTGAGTAATGTATTAGACTCAACATAAGAAAGGGCGCCTGGGTGGCTCAGTCGTTAAGCGTCTGCCTTTGGCTCAGGTCATGATCCCAGGGTCCTGGGATCGAGCCCCACATCGGGCTCCCTGTTCGGCGGGAAGCCTGCTTCTCCCTCTCCCACTCCCCCTGCTTGTGTTCCCTCTCTCGCTGTGTCTTTCTCTGTCAAATAAATAAAATCTTTAAAAAAAAAAAAAGAATTGTTGAGTCACTCTATTGTATACCTGAAACTAATATAATGCTGTATGTTAACTACACCGGAATTTAAAAAAACAGTAGTGGAACTGTCTCTGAGTCTGGGTTCCCTGCTGGATTGTGTGAGCTCTCAGGACAGGGACCAGCACTAACCATGCCAGGCAGTGCTGGCCCATGAGGCATCTGAAATCAGCTCCTGGAGGGAGAGGAGAAAAGGAGGGAGGCAGAGAGGAAGGGAAGGAGGATTTTCTTAAGTCATTAATAAAGCCAATTTCAAAAGAATTCCTTAGAATTCCAAAGATGGAATAATGACAGCATCTCTGGAATTAATATATAGTCTGAAGGGGTCAAGGCTCACTTGGATATTTATCCTCTGGTATGTTTGTGTTTAAAAAAAAAAAAAAAAAATCAGGTCACTACCCCCTAGGCACACCTCACTTTCTCCTTCAGGGTATGCATCCATTTCAGGGAAAGAAAATGCTAAATTTATTCAACTTTAAATTTTCATCTTGATATAAGTACCAGGGAAAGCTGGCTCCTGTGTTAGCCAAAGTATTTAAAAGATAAATTTCTATTCCATACAAAAATGCATGGGCTTAAAGAACAGAATTTCTGCTGACATGTATAATAAGCTTCTTCGATGTCCAAGGCTGCTTGGCAGAAACAAGAATGCAAAGAACAAGTAACATGTATCTGCTGTTTAATCCAGTGAGCCACCAACATGGCTTGGTGTATGTTGATATTTTGTGATTCTGAATAACAGGCTTCCCATCTGATGTGTACATATTTAAGGCTGAAATAACATGAGAAGTTTACAACATAATTTTAAGTGGAAAAAAAGCAGGATTCAGAGTTGAATACAGAATATAATTATATTTATGTTTAAAAAATACTAGAAAGGAGAAACATATTAAAATTGCTAATAGCAGGGGGCGCCTGAGTGGCTCAGTCGGTTAAGGGTCTGACTTTTGCTCAGGTCCTGATCCCAGGCTCCCTGCTCAGCGGGAGTCTGCTTCTCACTCTGCACCCCACCCCCACCGCCGTGTGCTCTCTTTTTCCACTCTCTCTCTCCGTGCTCTCTCTCAAATAAATAAATAAAATCTTTAAAAAAATGCTAATAGCAGAAGTACTTAAATGGGTGGCAAGCGGCAGGCAATCTGTTTTCTTCTTTTGATTTTAGAAATTTTCTTTCCTGGGTAGATAGTACTTTTATAATGATAAACACATCTGAACATTTCCAAATTATATAAAACTGTTTTAGTTAACACTGATGGCTAGAAATCTAAACTGTCTGCAGTGTTACAGAACTCGGTACCTATTAGCACATTTGCCATAAAACATCCATCTAAGAAATTCTTTCCTTCTGGTTCCCGGTTACCCACAAATCCCAGCTCCTTCCGCTCCTCGTTTCCCTGGAACCCCAGAGCACTTCTATTTACTGACACTGGCAAACTGGGAAGGGAGGGGGACACCTTAAAAACTCCGAACCCCAGGGGTGCCTGGGTGGCTCAGTCGGTTAAGTGGCTGCCTTCGGCTCAGGTCATGGTCTCAGGGCTCTGGGATCAAGTCCTGCACCAGGCTCCCTGCTCTGCGGAGAGCCTGCTCCTCCCTCTGCCTCCCTCTCTCTCTCTGTCTCTAATAAATAAATAAATAAATAAGATCTTCTGAAAAAAAAATCCCCACCGCAATGTTTCTTTCCCTTCCCTAGCTCCTTCCACGCACGCACGTCCTGAGGCTGTGGGGCAGAGCGCCGGGGCAGAGACGGCACTTACCGCGACCCTCTCACGTGTTTGTGTATGAAGTCGGCGTGGGACCGTGGGACCAGCGGATCCTTCTCTCCGTGCACGATTAAGGTGGGGCACTGAACAAGCGGCAGCAAGTGCCCACAGATATTCCCTGCAAGACAAACAGCACCGAGGATCTGCCTCCATGTGACCAGCGCGCCAGGGGAATCAGGAGAAGCAGGGGGCTGGGGCCCGTCCTGCCTCCCTCAGGATCGGTGTCCCCGTCCCTAAAAGAGGTGGTCTGCATTAGCCGGGGCCCGAGGGGTCTCCTAGCTCTCACAACCTGTGGGCCTCCTTTTCTGGTTCTCTTTTTTTTTCCTTCTTGGTAAGTTCTAGTAAACAAGCAGTTTTGCCTGATTATATGCATAATTTAAGCAAACCAGGAAAATAAACACAGAAAAAACCCCACAGCTCTTTATATTATGGAGAGCAGTCCACAGTTTGCAAAACGCTGGTAGATGCTTGGCATCTGAAAAGCTTTTCCCTTGAAATAATGTCTTAAATGGTCCCCCCGGGGCCCCAGCTACCCTCAGAGGTTCTATACCTCCTGTGAAGTTAAAACTTACACATGGCAAATGAGCTGCTCTTCATTCCTCCTGCCTCCATGACATTCCTGCCTGCCATACTCTGGAGACGATAAGGGCCTCACCTCCATCGTAACAACCTTCCTGAGGCAGATGAGGAACAACCTGGCTCTGGTCCTGTCCTACTGTTTCCTGCCTGGGAACTCTTGGTGGTTCCACAGTGAGGAGTTTCATCCTCCTCCCTGGTCAAACAGGGGATATTTCCAGTTCTCTGGGGGTGGCCGTGAGGCCAAAAAGAGGTGTCCTATCTACAGTTCTGGGCAGTGGGCAGGTACTCCATAAAGTGAGCTCCTTCCTCCTCTGCCTCCTCCCAGCCTCTGTGGGGGTCACTGGGGCCCTGAGAAAGCTGGGAGTCAGCCCACTGGGGTGCTGCCCAGGCACCTGGCCTATCCCTCCTCCTCAGGAGCCGGGGTGGGGGGCACTGCCTGCTAAATGAGAAGGGGACGGGTTGGCCAGAGAAATACTTCTCTAGGTCTCAGAAGCTGCCATCTCCTGTCCCTGGGATGACACACACTTGTTAACTGCATAATCAGAGGATGAAGCAGTCATCCCGAGCACTATGGGTCAGACACTGTTCGCATGGGTTCACGCCCATGACACACTGCCTTACCTGCTGTAGCTCACTTGGTCTGTACAATCATTGGTAGATCCAGTACCTTTCTAAAAAGAGTCCTAATAACCTTTAATCAAGCGCTTACTGTGTACTTGGTACTGCACCACAGCTGAACATGCAGAACCCTGGTTAGTCCTCAAAACACCTTTACGGGGTCGTTATTAGCTGCTTCGGTTCACAGATGGGGAACGGCAGCTTAGAGAAGCTGAGTAGTCTGCCCATCATTCTGACAGCAACCAAGTGGCAAGGCCAGACTTCACACCCAGGCCTGTCTGACTCCAAATCTGTGCAGTTAACCCCTATCCTAAACCGAGCATCTAACAACGTGCACAGTGTACAATTACGACAAAAAGGGGCCCTGTGAAATTAATGAGTGTGGAGGGGAGATAAGTAGCTTATTAACAGTCTTGCTGTAAGATCACGGCTATAGTTCCTCTATATTTTGACATTTTCCCCCTCCCTTTTTTTTTTAATAACTGTATTTGATTTTTTTAAATTTTAGGTTTACAGCAAAATTTAGTGGAGGGTTCAGGGATTTCTTCTGTACCCCAGCCCCCCACATGCACAGCCTCCCCCAATATCAGTATCTCCCACCCAAGTAGGACATTTTTACAATTGATGAACCTACATGGACACATATGTCATCATCACCCAGAGTCCAGAAATTACATCAGGGTTCACTCCTGGTTGTTGCACATTCTGTGGGTTTGGGCAAGTGTATAATGACATGTAGCCATCATTATGGGATTACAGAGTATTTTCATGGCCCTAAAAATCCTGTTTTGGACATTCTAACAGGTGAGTACTGGGATCTTGTTATTTGGCTCATCTTTTAATCAGGTTTTCTTCTTATTGTTCAGGTTTAAGAGTCTGTTGCACATTTGGGTAACAGTGCTTTATCAGATATGCCTTTTGCAAATATTTTCTCCAAGTCTGTGGCTTGTCTTTCCATACTCTTGACAGGGTCTTTCGCAGAATGGAAGCTTTAGATTTTAACGGATACAGGACGTATGTTTGAGCTGCTGATTTAATTCTGCTTCTGCCTCTGAATCTTCCTACCCCGCTCTCTAGTCAGGAAAGCACAAAAATTTACATTTCAAGAATGTGCCTTCTTTAATGGAGAACTGTCTTAGACATCTTTATGGCATTTTTGTTTTAAGAGCTGAGGGAGACACATTTTCAAAGATCTATTTCTCTGGGTAGTTACTGCACTGGAAGAGGATATATTTGCTGTTTTGAACTTGAACCAGAAAAGTAATAGTTCCAAATGTCCTTTTCATTGTGAAAGTTTTGATAGGTGACTCACTCTGGAAATGATTACCTAATAGATCAAACTGCTCCTTCAACTGCAGCCATTTTGTCACGAATGTGCTCCCAGATTTGATCTCAGCTACCCTCTATTCTTTTAGCAGTTAAAATAGAAGAGTGAGAAATTAGCAATGTAAATGGCTATTGAAAAACAGCCTTTAATTCAGAATTTCTCTTAAAGATGTCAGTTCTTCCTGTTAGTGGAAATCTTGTTAATTTTTCTGATAAAGACGGGGAATTAGAGTCACATAACTAAGTTCTGAAGGTGGGAAATAAATTGAATGCTCTTCCTCAGGCTAATTCTGCTGGAGCTGAAGGTCATGACACAAAGGCCCTTCTTTTTCATCCTGGTAAGAGAGGATATAGCAGGGTCACGCATCTAAATGTGAAAAAGAAAAAAATATGGTACGCACGACAGCTTGTTTGTTTTCTGATTACCCACTCCAGAATTAGAGAAAAACAAACACTATTTGAGGCTTCTGGAGAATTATTTTGTCATCGTACACACAAAGGATTAGAGGGAAAAAGGAACAGTCTATTAAAGACTTCACACTGTGAACCCTGATACATAGAGTAGGTGTATACATATAGTATCGCTTAAGGCGGATTTATTATGCAAGAGCATGTATGGTATACAATCACTAGCATCCTCTGTTCACGCATTAGTGTGAAAGGACAGTGGGTGAGTGCTTTCATCACCAGGGAATTCTGGAACACCAGGGGAAGAACGCAAGCAGCCTCTCTAATCGGCAAAAGAACAGCTAAACAGTTCACATAACCTACCATCTGGAAGATGTTTAAATTGTTTTATGCCATCCACCCACTTCTCACAGGTTTTGGCAAAGTAGTCATAGCCATATAAGGTTTCAAGAGGTTTTCTTGTTTTCTCACTCCATTTAGAAACATCTCGGATACCTGAAAAATAGAAGTATTGACAAGAAGAGGTTTAGTCTAGGGGCACCTGGGTGGCTCAGTCGGTTAAGCATCTGCCTTCGGCTCAGGTCATGATTCTCAAGTCCTGTGTTGGGTTCTCTGCTCGGCAGGAAGCCTGCTTCTCCCTCTCCCCCTGATCCTCCCCCAGCTCGTGCTCACTCTCTCTCTCTCTCTCAAATAAATAAATCTTTTAAAAAAATAAAACATGAACAAATTCAATTACTTAGCCCACTCCTTTCCGTATTTCCTTAAACACACTGATAATTCTAATGCTTCTGAGGGTATTACATCTTGCTTAATAACAGCTTTTAACACAGTGCTGCTGCTACACAATACACCTCAAAGAAAACACATGACTAATGACATGAACTCATATCGAACAATAACCCCTCCATGGCACTCCCGACAGCACCAGGGCCCTGGCAGGCACCCTGTATGTACTCAGTGAATGCAATTACAGAGTGGAGGAAAAACTGCTGTTTACAAGTGCACTGCCTTCTAAGGTGGGCGGATGCTGTGACAGAACGAGCCGGATCTGTTCTGACCTGCACAGGTAAGCCCAGAGGTGCACATGGAGGCTGGGAGAACTGACCTGCTCTGCACAGGAGTGAAAAGACTTCACAGAGGGGTGCCGAGAAGTCTGGAAATTAAGAGGGTGTGGAGGAGATCTGGGAAGAAGAAAAAGGAGAGTTGGAAGAGGGGGCAGGAGAGAGGAGCCAGCAAGAGGTCATAAAGATAGCCAATAAAAAAAAAATCTCCTACAGATATTTCTACTTTGGGCTCTATTGCAGACCACAGCCGCTGCAAGGTACCCTTGCAGTGGAACGACTAGTTTTTGTTTTTGTTTTTTTTCTTAAGCAGGCTCCATGCCCAGCGTGGAGCGCAATGCTGGGCATGGAGGGAACTCCATGGGAACTCATGACCCTGAGATCAAGACCTGAGCTGAAATCAAAAGTCAGACATTCAACCAAGTGAGCCACCCAGGCATCCCTAGGACTAAATATGTTCATAAAACATATTCTTTGTTGCATTGTTGGGAGTTATAGCAATTAATGGAAACTAGGATATGAAGGTGTGTGTGTGAGAAAGAGAACCTAAAAAGAGAGCAAAGAGTGGTAAGACTACTCAAAAGGCAGGGTGGCTTTTGCAGGAAATGTAACTGGCAGTTGGGGGTGGGTGGGTAGAGCCGAACCCAAGATTCCTAGATTAAGTGGAGATGAAAATGGCTCCAACCTGGTATGGAGTCTGTGCTTCCCTAGAGTAGCAAATGTAAATCCTCTCTGAAAGAAAGCATCATCAATTTGTATGCATGGTCTTTTGTGTGTGTGTGTGTGTGTGTTTTCAGATTAAGAGTAAGCAAATATTCGCTCCTAACCATAGGTCACAACACAATCAGAATCTTTATAAAGCTAATGAAAAAGCTAAAACACTGGAAGAGAAAGCTTAAGAAATGATGCAGACCACCACAGAGAGAGACAAGAAGATGAACAAGAGACACGGAAGATGGGAAGGCAAGGCCCACAAAGTCCAATCAGTGCCCTGATGGAGGAGAGGAGAAGAATGGAGAACGGACGAGAAGCAATATGGGAAGGAGGACACGGGCAAGAATGGTTTTCAGAACTGATCAAAGATAAGGGTCCACAGATAAAAACTGAATGTAACCCGAACTGGATAAATAAAAAGGAATTCGCATCTGGACACACAACACTAAAATAGCAATACATCAAAGAAAGAGAAGAAACCTGAAAAACAGCAATAGGTGAGACACATTCACTCCAGAGGGGGGAAAGCTACACGGGCAAAACTTCTTAACAGTGGTCGAGGAAGGCAGAAGACCGTGGAATGGCTGAGCAAATAATTTGCCATTTACATTTCTGCACTTAGCCAAACAATCTTTCAAGAATGAGCGTGGAATAAAGACAGTATGAGGTAAAAACGGAGCTCACTATTAACAGAGCTGCCCTTAAAGATCTTCTAAAAAAATAACTTGAGGACAAAGAGAAGTGAGCTTGGGAGGAATATCTGAGATGAAAGAAGGGGAGTAAAGAAACTGACGAACATGTCCGTTAAGTGTGAAAATACACAAAACTTGCCAAGCTAATGAGAAAACAGAACTCTGGAACATTTTTTTACATTAAAATTAGTTCTGTCTAGAAAGGAAGTGAAAGGACAAGCCACAAGCTGTGCAGAACAACGACTAACCCAATTACTAACCAGCAAGGGGATAATAATCAGACTGTCAAACAACAAACACCCTGCAAATCAGTAACATCGTAATAATACTGGAAGTGTTCTAGTCTCGAGTGTCATGGAGAGTCCTTGGGTGTTTGTCTGTTGTTAGACTTCACACGGTATGCCTGTTAAACCTATCGTTTTAAAACTTTTATGTAATCTTGATACATATAAATCAACAAAAAAGAAACAAAAAGACATGAATAGGGACAATACAGGAGAAGAAACCCCAGGGGCGCATAAATACATAAAAAGATTCTCAATCTTATTAGAAAGAGGAAGATGCAAATTAAGTCCGCCAGTAAGATACCATTTCACATCCATATGACTGGCTGGGACTACGAAGTCTGATGATTCCAAGTTTTTGAGGATGTAAATTAAGGAATCTATTACGCTGGTGGTGGAAATGCAAATGTATGTAGTTGGAAAACAACTGGTCACTGGTAACATGGCGTATTTGCATACCACAATATTCAGCAAATCTCACGTTTGGGCCTATACCCCAGACTGACACCACTGCTCATAGGCCCCAGGAGAGATGTACATGAATGTTCACAGCAACAGTGAAAACAGACCTACAGTCCATTGATAAAAGAGAGGGAAAATAAAATACTTTTGCCCAATGGAATACAATACAGCATTATCATGAATGAATCTTAGAAATCAATGTTCATTGAAAACAGTGAGTCATAGAAGATGATCTATGGTATGAAGGCACTTTGTATGACTCAAAAACAAATAAAACTAAATTATATATTGTTTAGGAATATAAACAGATGTAAATAAAATATATAATTACAAAATAAAATTTAAATATATATTATATACCTTATATAATATATAGTATAGATACATATTATTTGTTTAAATCACATATTTAAAGATACACAAATATATTTAACATAAGTGTTTAATTTATATATATAATATAAGGTATTTTATTATATTGTTAATAGTATTAATATGTAATATAAATGTAACATTTTACAAATTTTATATATTTTTATAAAATTTTAATGTTTTAAAATTATAAAATTTTATAAGATTTTTAATAAAATTATATATTTTTTATAAATAAAAAAATTCCCCTGTGACAGAAGGCCAAGATCTTTTAATCCAAATGGGCTAATGTTCAATGTGAAGACATTTTTCTTGCTAACATGTAAATTCCTCTTTGGGATAGCAAGAGATTTCTCAAAGCGAATTAACTCAGTCAAAGCAGGCATTTAGAGTGAGAGGTATCTGTTAGTATGTAAACTCTGGGGCATGGCTTTAGACTCTCAGGAAAATATTATCTAAATCTCAAGGGGCAGAAAAATCCAGCAGTAGCTGGGGCAAGCCAGAAGTTCACACCAAGCAATGTGGTTAAGCACACAGGCTCAGAAGTCATACTGGCTGGGTCGCACCTACTAGCTCTGTGACCCTGAGCAAGTTCCTTAACCTCTCTGTGCTAGTTTCCTCATCTGAAAAATGAGAATTATACTACCACTCTGAGATAAAGAGTAAATAAGTTAGACATAAAATGTGCTAACAACAGTACCCAGCATATAACACTCAAAAATATTCTATGTATTTATATATTTACTTCTGTTAATTTTTAAGAGGAAGCCGGTTTTACCCCAAAGCATAATTTCCACCAAAAAATAAGTAGCAATTATGTTTCACAGTTAAGTTCCTAATTTAACTATTTGAATCAAACTATTTGCTGATGTGAAACATATAATTTGTATCCCCCCTGAAAACAGATACATTTATTTTTTGAGCATGTAATCTGTGCTAAGCACCAGAAGAAAACTCATTGGCTCACCATTAATTAGTGAATTAATCCAGTAAACATTATTTGAAGGCTGCTGAGCATTACTCACAGCACGTACAAATTTGAATGAGAAAAAAAAAAAATTTGAATGAGATTTGGTCTCTGCCCTCAAGGGCCTTATCGTTTAGAGTTGTAAACGACCTCTGTAGAAGAGTGGGACAGATGTCCTGGGAGAGGCCGGGGAGGACAGAGGAGGGTCAGTGAGCTCAGAGGGGCAATGGCAGGAAGTGGCAGTGGTGGTGGGCTTCCTGGAGGAGGCACTGCTGGGTCTAAGTCTGCGAGAACAGAAGCCAGCAAGCAACTATGGGAGCCATGCCATCTATGGCTAGAACTTCAGGAGTTTCCAGGTGGCCGAAGAAAAGGATGGGTAGGTACGTGCAGGTAGAGGAGACAAAGTGGCAGCGGATGGACCTAGAAAGATGGGGGCGGGGGTCCCAGCTCACTCAAACTTTGTGAGCAAAGCAGAGGAGTCTGAACTCTACTTATCTGGAAAGCTATGCGAGACTTTGGAGGGTTTTCAAGGAAGATATAATGAGATTCACATCTTAGCAAACTACCATCCAAGCAGTCAGGAAAGTAGACTGAAATGAGGTAAAGACAGGGCAGGTTGGAAAGTGCTGGTCGATCTAAGTGAAGACAGATGGGGAGGCCTGGAACTGGGGCCTGGCAGGAGGAATGGAAAAGGTGAGTTGGCTTCCAGACAGAGCCCAGCAGAACGCAGGAAGAATGCAGAGGGCTGGATCACTATACTGCAGACGAGAAACGTTGGGCTTTACTGGCAGACCTTCCCAGTTTGTGCCAACATCACAGGTTCCTTTGCTTGTCTGAGTCCGGAGTTGAGTCATAAACAGCGATGTTAATATTAGTTCATGGCAGGCATTCCATAAATCATAATTAAAATATTCTTTTGTGGAAGAAAGAGTATATTCCATCGAGTGTCACTTAGCAGAGTGAGAAATGTAGCAGGAAGACCAGGTGTGGAGGAAAGATTCTGAGCTCGACTTTAGACACGCTGAATGTAAGGTGCCTGTGGGGCAACCAGGTAAGAAAAATGGACACGAAGTTGAATATCTGGAATTTAGGAGTTTGAGGACGCCAAGGGACGAGGGGAGCTCCTTGGGTATAAGAACGAGAAGAGGAGCTGAGAGCTAAGGATGGTGCCCGGCAGAGCAGAGCAGGGAAGGTGTCAAAGACAGAGACTAAGCAAGGTAAGGGGAAAGCTCTGGATGTGGTGGCAAGAACTCCACGGCAGAGAAAGCCTCGGGAAGAGGGGTGTGTATTTTCAAATGCTGCAGCATGACCAAGGAGCCGAAGGGCGATAAAGCATCTGAGGGGCTTGGCAGCACGGAGGCCCCGGTTCCACGAGGCCGGTGGGTCGCCCAAGTCAGGGCAAGAGGGGGCCATGAGGGAGTGGGCCTGGGAAGGGCAGCTGAAAATGCGAAAGAGGAGTGTGAGGTGAGGAGGGAGCTTCTCGTGTTTTGTGTGCGGCGCAAAGAAGGGAAGTCAGAGTCACTGAACGTGGGGAGTTCACACAGCTGTGACTGAAGGGAAGGTGTGACGGTGACAGCGCCCAGGACAATCGGGCCGGTGAAAGGGTGTGCGGAGCGCTCCAGCGCCAGAGGCACAAGCACCGGCCAGGGCACGGGCTCCAGAACGGCGGCTGGAGAAGACGCGTGTGGGGAGACCCGGCTGGAGGGCAGGCCGCGCAGGCGAGCACACGAGCAGGTGCCGAGGCAGAGAGGCGCAAAGGAGAAAGTCTGTTCCAGGAGTAGCAGCTGTTCAGCGTGGGAGGTTGGGGGGAGGGGAAGGCAAGGTGCAGGGGGAAAGGTACAGGGAGGCTGGGAGGGGGAGAAGGCACAGCAAACTTTGTGAGCAAAGCAGAGGAATCTGAACTCTACTTATCTGGAAAGCTATGCGAGACTTTGGAGGGTTTTCAAGGAAGATATAATGAGATT